TCTTCAAATTGGCGAAGATATTGCCATAAAGCGTTGCTGCGTTGTGGGGTGATGAGGCCGGCTGAGGTTCATATGGGGCATTGTCATCAGCCTGCGTGCGGTTGGCTCCCTGTGACACTTCCCCATTGGCTTCAACGGACATCTGAACTGTGGCAGACGTAGAAGTGTCACTGGTGTCCTTCGCAGGAGTCTGCTCGGCGTCACTGTGTTTGCAGCAGGGCTGCTGCCTGATCCCACCGCCGCGCCGGGAGCAGCGTCCTCCGCCTCACCGTCGCCGTGTCCATCAGCAGCACCGTCACGTGGCTCTTCCTCTTCTTCCTCCTCCTCATTGTCATCAACCGCTTTGCTCAGGCCGTGGCCTTCATAAGGCAACTCAGCACCGTCATCGACATCATCATCAATGACATTGTCTTCTCCCTCTAATGGTCGTAGTCCTTCACGCTCCCCCACAGACATGTCGTCATCCTCCCCTTGCGACTGTCGTCCTTCATGTGTTGAGGGCTGAACCACCGAACGTGGTGGCAAATTTTCCGGTGCCTGAGGAGAGGCATCTCCACCATTATTCATGCCAGCGACGCTCTGGCCGGTGGTCGAAGGGTTTTCCTGATTGATACCGCTATTAGTCTGCGGCGCCGAATCTTTCACCGATGATGCGCTGGGCTCAGGGAAATCCTGCACTTCACCGTCTGGTTCCTCAGCATCAAAAAGTGGAAGGGCGACTTTATTGTTATTAAGTTTCGGGATCTCATTAAAAGAGTTTAGTGGGCGGTTGTAAAGCAGGACGCTGCTCACCGTCACATCGCGGCTGCTCTCACCTGCCGCACCGTTGCCACCAAAGTAAAAGTGCGAGATCCGGTATGAATTGAACAAAGGACCACGATAGTTCCAGTCGAAAATCTCCTCTCCATCGACGTCCACGTACCAATCATTTTCATCCATTTCCACCACCACCTGCAACGTTTTGTTTACCACCCACGTGCCAGCGCACGCACTCTCTGTTGACTCTCTTACCAATTTTGAACCTCCACTTCCCGTCATTCGTGTAAGAGAGTTCAAAGAGCGCAGTACCGTCCGTGTCGTTCATCCTCGCGCCCAACAGAGAAATGCTGGCTTCCTCCGGCACCGCGTGGATTGTCACCGTCGCCACAAGAGCGAACTCGTTGTTCGCAAAGTAGTACGGCTGGTTCTGCCCCTTGCTGCCCACCGGCCATTCCGCCCCCGCTGCTGCGCCTTTGAACCTCACGCCCCACTCCGTGCTCGTCACTGTCTCACCCTTCACTGTTGCTGTCACGCCGAGGTACTCGTCCTTCCATACAGTCCCGTCCGTTAATGTGTTGGACAAAAGGCCAACCAGCCCTCTGGTGGGAATGGAACCTATACACACATTCCTTATTGCCTGCAGGCCCACAGTATCAGTGGAAAGACAGTTTTGCAAGGCATTGTCCATATCTTTCCAGGCCTTCACCACTTTCTTTATCGGCTCCAGCTGCTCAGTCAGGCTCACGGCCACAAGACTGTACGAGTCGCCTTCATTCTTATCCTCGTACAGTAGAATCAACTCCTCCTTGTTACCGCTTCTGTACAGCAGGGAGCTGGCGGCGGCATCATGCTCTTCACGTGATACCAGCCCAACGTCATGCACACGGGCATTGTCCGTCACCCAAAGATGCAGCCGACCCTTGTAGTTGTCCCCCACCTTAGAATACACCGGCGTGGTGAGCAGCATCACCCTCAAGTTCTCAATCTTCGCGGCGGTGAACCCGCTTCGCACGCCGTCCCCTTTTCGATCATGTGAGTTGCCCCACACGCGTGAAATTGGTTCAGCACCAAACCAACTTTTACCATCCCCTGGCGACTTGTACACGTCGTAGGAGCCTTGCTCACAGGGAGCCATCGCGACGACTTGGTTTTCTCCCCACTCCGCGATGGATGGATCTCGGCAGCCCTTACCATCAGTCACACCAGACGAAAGCTCCCATTTCTTCTT